TAGAATCATTCGATTTTGCTCATCTGATGGATAATAGCACCAGGGAGTCTGTCGCGCCATACTTACACACACACACACACACACACACACACACACACACACATTGGCGCATTCAAACAACCAAATGTGGCCGCATATATACCCACGCTCTCGCTGTAGAATCATTCGATTTTGCTCATCTGATGGATAATAGCACCAGGGAGTCTGTCGCGCCATACTTACACACACACATACACACACACACACACACATACACACACATGCACACACACACTTACACACACATACGAGAGTATAGTTGTGTGCGTATCTACATTTTTTGCAGCAGTTTCATTCAATCTCACACATCCGATTCGATAGTAATACTACAAATTCGTCGGCGAGTGTGGGGACTTGCCTGCTTTCTCTATCTCTCTCCCCCTCACTAGCGAGTTTACTCTGTCTATGTAGTTGCCTCTGCCTTCCTCCCGATCGGAATCCTCTCTATCTCCCTCGCTCTCTCGTTTTCTCTCTCTCACACACTCTGATCGCGGATAGCGTAGGCGCACCTTTCAGACATATCATTTCCCTCCTGTTTTCCTAGCCCGTTCGCCCTCGTACCCATTCTCTTCTTCTTCCCGTACATTTTTCTCCTACATGTAATGATAATCCTCATCTCCTCCCTATTGCGCATTCCCGCCTTCTTCTTCCTCCGAACACCCCTTCCCCTCTTTCTTCTTTACCTCTCATTCACGGACGAGCTTCTCACTCACGGTTTCGCGATCATTTCTTCTCGATCGAATTCCCTACCCGCAATCACAATCACATTCTTTTCTGACTTCCCACTATGTTGCCTTACTTCGATCGCGCTTCCATGAGAAATAAATATATCTAGATGAATCTGATCGATAATTGCAGGTAGTTCCATCGAATAATACAAAAGAAAAAGCAAAAACGCCTTATATTCGAATGATATGCAAAAACACTTCAAACAATATACATGTCTAGATGAATCTGCTCGACATTCGCAAATAGATCCATCTAACCACAAATGCTCGCACTAAAAAACGATAACCCATCACGCGCACCCTGCCCTCTTCCACCATGACCCCCTGCCATACTCATGACTAAACATACATGGCCTGCTCTAGCCCTCTGAGCAATATGACATGCATACATACCCATACATTGAAGGTGGATAGTGACTTGTGTGAACGATTGGACCCCTTGCAAGATCAATTTTGTAATGAATGTTGCTTGAATCTGCAAATATTTTTTCCTTTGTAATATTATTGTCGACTATTTTTTTCCAAAACAAGCGTATACCCGTTATGACCAGGAATTGTGCCAACGAATAAAACGCGATATACAGATCGCAGATTGACTCCCCCCAAAAATATTCCCTTGCTATACATATTAAATTTAAAACCCATGATAATAACCCCTTGTCTGCATAACCCATCAAAACATCACACCATGACCAATCCTTGTAAAAACCTCAAACCTGCTCACAGGAGCCTGAAAACGCTCCGTTACTACCGAACGCATATCCCCCTCCGGAGGATTAAGCACACAATTTCCTGACCTCACAAAGAGTTAGTACAGCCACACACCCAGCATGTATCTTCAAGGCTATTCCGCCACGACTAAAAATTCCTCATCGGCCAAAAATGGAATATGTGTGCGATAAGCGATGAAAAAATATCAATAAACAAAGGAACGAGACTTTCAATTGTCAGGATAACCATAACACTCAACAGATTACTCACATAGCAAGGAAACCAGATCAAGAAAATTTGACATACGCAAAAAAAACAAGCCACGAAAGAAATACATATTAGAAATATTTGCCCAAAACAAAACAATGATTGCTAACTGTATTACATTTACGAGACTGCCTCCCATCAGATATTATGAGCGAAATTGGATTGCGCAACTTCACTATGCATGCAATCCTAGATCTTTGATCCACGTAGACCACACGTTCAAGATTACAAGAAAACGAATAGCTGCACTACACCAACCTACGATTGGTAAACAACAGACATTCCCTAATCTAAGAACGCATGGAGCTGATTGAAACGTTGTATATTGAACTTCTTACCCACCTCTATGTAAATCACCGTTATACACTCACACTTTAGCATCACGTACCTACTCCGTTTTTATATATATATAATATATATATAATATATATATATATATTGTCAAATAGAACTGCCCGGTAAACCGTAGGCAGAGAGGGAGAAGAGGACAACAAACGAGGGGCTGTGACAAACTGTTTCGTCGGAGTTTATATATATATATATATATATATATATATATATACATATATATATATCCATGCTGCTACAAAAACTCGATGCTCTTAGTATGATCACTAGAAGAACCACCCCGATATAACCCGAGGCTCAACCCATTAACCATTAGAGTTGAATCACAGCCTTCGAACATCGGACGTAGAATATACGAACACTCAGCGTTACCCACGAAAATACCCCCCCACTCTCACCAACAGATGCATAGATAGATCCAACTCTGCTATTATAAAACCACTGCACCACCTACATAGAAATAAACTCAAGCAAAGCCATACATCTTACCAGTAAACTAACATTGGCAAGAAATAATGGTATGAATATCACTGCCCCTATCCCGTGCTGAAGATAACACGCTCACTCGCTGAAACGAAACCAATTATAAACTGCTAAAAACTAAAACAACACCCCTCTTCTTGTAAAGCATCGCCACACCGGCTGGCACGAACGAAACCGCTCAGAAGAAAACACAGACATGGTAATGATACAACTGGTCCTAAACAACTATTATACACACAATTAGTAAATAGCACACCACCATGGATCGATATAAAGACGAAAAACTCCGCAATTAACATCTTCTACCTAACCTTCAGTATTGCACCAAACCAATCCCCATACCATAGCACTCCTAACATTACCTAGACAAAGCACATAGCATAATTCACTCATACAGGCGAGAACTTGCTCTATACCATTACTCGTCGATTACACTAGTAGAACTAGACTTAGTTGAGCGATCCCGAACATAGACCGAATAGAGGAGATGATAACCCCCATCGCCACCTCACTTCATACCACTACGTAGTGTGCCTGACCCACCTGCCTTACATATGAACACAGAAAACCCCGATCCCATCCAGGCAACAAGAACGTTGCCTACAGCCGATGTGTGGCTCACTGGAGATCTCCGCCCATGTACGCTCGTCCAACTAGGGGTGGATCTAGAATAGTTGCCCAGTCCACTATCGACGACAAAAAGTCACCGTGCTCATGCAACACGACTGTTGTCACCAAACGCACCATAGACTCAACGATGTCTTCTCCCGCGCCGACGTGAGCATCTGGGACATCCTCATGAACGTTCGTCACATACATAATAACCTCGTGAAGGAACTCTTTCGCATAACCCAGCCCCACCACCAAGCGCAAAACCAACTCCCCACGAGCATCGATTTCGTAATGGCGAATCTGGTGATTCGTAACGGCGCCCATGAACTCAAACTCGCGTCCTAAGCGAGTATCATGAAGATCGCCCTGTTCGAACATCATAACCACACACCCCCTGACATGGCCACGAGTTACGAACGTAACTGACATCTTGATTTGAAGACTCTGAACACGAGAACTTCCCAGCGTCACTTGCAACTCCCGCGCACACAGCACGCCAGCATAGAGAGTCCAAAACCTCAGAATACTGACAGCGTAGGATCATACAAGAACCAACCTCTCAAATTATTGAGTACCCCGAGTCTGACCCCATATAAATAAGAAAAACCGCTACTACAGTTCACAGCGGAATCAGAAAAAAAACAGAAAAACAAAAATAAAAATATAACCAGTCACCTCACCTGGACCGACACAGCCTTAGCCCACACGACTGAAACGACAACCCTCCCCTGCGTCGTTTCCCCCTTGTCTGTCCTTTTATTATCCTTCTGATCTTTTTTTATCTTTCAATTGCTCTTCTCCGCTCCTCCCCCCCCTATAACCATGCCAACCGATGGAATGCGAGCACATAACTGTAACCACCATTACATATACCATTGGGCAATGACAGACAACCCATAGCTAGTTACCCGTACTAACCGTTGATCTGTCACCCTCAACCCTCCCTGTTTATAAATAAGAAACATACATCCCCCTCAGAAAAACTAACCACACATATGCACCTAATAAAACCTTTCAAAAAAAAAACAAAGAAAACAGAAAACAAAAAAATGAACATAAATAAAAGGGACCCCCCCCCCCCCCCCTAAAAAACCCGACCTTAAGTCAACCAACCCCCCCATGCTACAACCATAACCCCGAAAGAACTCACAACCGGCACTAAGATACCCTTGCCAAAATAGAAACCGCACACATAGATTAACATGCTACTTATGGCGGTGGTTGTAGGGTGTCATCGAGCGCTACAAAGAAACCAGACGAGGTCTCTGGCCAGAAATCGAGGTAGGCCCCCCAAAAAAAACTGAGCCCCCCCTCCTTATCGTCCCCTCACCCCACTTACCTACGTCTTACTAGCCAACTACATCGACGATATAATAACAACGTCTAAACTCGCTCCATGATGACTTTTTTGCAGGATCAAGAAATCATCAACCGAGGATGGCACGCGGACCTTGCACCGATGGTCGCCCCCTTCGCCATGCTCCAACCGCCAATTGTTCATTCCCAATTGATCCTCATGGCACTACCCCAAGATCTGCTTCACCGATTCCATACTGCATCATATTCGCCTTACCTGATTGAGATTCTCACATTCAGCGACTGGGCAGTCATTAGCAATAAGTACGAGACTGAACCGAAAAAGATGCACAGTCTAATCGAGGCTTACGCGCTCAATGCCCATGTCATTGCCTTCAGAAACAGAGTCCAGAACAGAGAGCTCGGTAGGGTGATTGCCAAGGGAGAGAAAGCCATACTCGATAAGTTCGGATACTGCTCCGACCATCTCAGTGACGTAGGGGAGATAGACATCTCAACTGATGTCAATGAGAAAAGACAGGCAGGAAGACGGAGGATAGGACTGTCCCAAGCAGAAATAGATTACTTGGAAAAGCAGCACGAACGTAGACTGAATACAGTCATGATTAGCACACCGATAGATAAGACTGGCAAAGTGCACAAATTCGCACAGGACAACCACTTCCTCCCAATTGCGTCTGACACATGGGTAGAGAGAAACAACAAGCACGTTGCTCACAAACTGTGGTATCTTGACTCCTTTAACTACACCGCACCCATTTCAATCGAAGGTTACAAAGCACTGGCCAACCTGTCCGATGCTGACATGGAAACATGCAGACAAGCCGCACATAACTTTACACTACACTATCCCACAAACAGACCCCCCTTTGATGGGGACTTCCCCATCCTAGCGATCCTCGATAAGACCAAATGCGCCATCTCCAAACCAGTCCTCGTGCAAAAAGGATTCGTAAGAATCCCACAGACGTTGGAAGAAGTTAAGAAGATGTGGAACATCAGCCAGCCATACCTCAAATGTACTTGCGAGAAGAACTGCGGGAAGACAATCACTTGGCTCGACCACATGCTGTGGTACTACATCGCCAATCTGTACTACTTTGATCCGAACGCACCTTCGGATGTCACACGTATGCTCGACCTGCAACAGAAGCTCGAGACGGAATGGAAGGGTCCGATTCTTGCACAGGTAACCTTCCTACACATGAGGAAGATAATGAGGGACTTGCTGGACCGGCTCATCGATGGCAAGATGTCAACAGTTGAAGGCTTACTCGACCACCCCACGCTGAAGAGCATCCCATTCGCTGCAAGATTTGCTGGGATCATGTTCCCAGACGAACCTACCAGGACCCCTGGCACGGCGAACAGCAACAGAAGGAGTGCACTGACAACTGAGCCAGACATCGCGCAGAGGAGCAGAACAAGACAGACGCCGCTCCCGTTCGTCCCTATATCCGGTGATAACACCTCCTCCACACCTTCCCACACCCCACGACACCATGCAACAACCAGCACACCACCCTCAACGACAACACAAGGCCAACAGCATGTCACGCATATGCCCACACACACGACAGGCACAACGCAAGCTACACGCAATGCGCAGCATACGCCAAGAGCAGCAGGAAACCCCTTGCCACTAGCACCACCACCGGAACCTTCCCAGCAACAGCAGCAAGTGAGCATGCCCGGTGCAAACACAAACAGAAGAGTGGAGCCTACTGCAGCACTCCAGTGCAACCTGGATACACGCCCACCGAAGAGGGCCAGGAAGAACGGGAACGCACGCAAACCAATCCGTAGCGCAGGCCTCCAGGGCAACGCTAAGGGACAAAGGAAGAGAAACCTAGCTAGGACCAACCTGCACGCTGAAGCACAGCAACTCATCACTGGAGCTCTCAACATGGCACACACCGACCCATACGTACCACCACTCCTCCCGCTACCCACCCACATCGGCTCCCCCATGCTGGCCACCAACACCTCATCTACCACATCACTCCAAGCCAGCCCGTCCATCCACCTCGCCAACAGCCTCAGTAAGCTCCCTACACGTAGCCCGATTCTTGGAAATCGATCACAACTGCCCAACACACAAACTCGCCCGCACCTGTTTGACGGCGCACAGTCCAGACCTGTGCAAATTATTGACATCACCGCATCAGGCAACATAGAAGACATAATGCGATCGACGTCAGCTCCCACTCCCCAGACACTCCGACCAAGCCCATCAGCTCGTTTGGCCACATCTTCAGGAGCCTCGACATCGAAGAATCTATGGCAGGCTCCATCACCGAGGCAACCACCGACGACAATGTGGCATACAATGAAGGATCCTCCAACCCAAAGCCATCAGGAGGAACCTAGGAAACGACTTTGGCAATTATGACAGGCTTGCGGTGCGAGACTACTAGGAATTGATGAACCGTCCCTGGATTAACTACAGATATTGGTTACAGAAGTACGATACTTTACTGTGGAGACACATCCGCACTAGGATATATAGCTGGGACTTTATCAGGACTTTTTGCTAAAGCATAGCCGATACTCAAATAAGGATAGGGACTTATTACATACTGATCAGAGTATGAAATCAAAGAGCCCCTAAGGATACCCCCTCGTTCTTTTTTTGATGAGACCTTGCTGAAGAGGACATGGCAGACTGTTATCAACATTGATAACACTCAGGATGATACATAGATAAAACTAGAGGCCTATCTCAGGCTGATTAGAGTGTGAGATCATTGGCCCCGAATTTTTTTTGTCAATAAACCATGCATTTCCCCCCTCAGCCATGGCTACATACGGCGACTCAGATCACTATGATGATCTGAATTCCTTGTTGTACGCTCCCGCCACTCTCCTGCTTAATGCACCCCTCACCTCACCAACCTCTCCCCATCCAGGAAACATGAAACTTCTCTACGGTTCTCCCGAATGTCTTACTACCTAACTAGAATTGTACCCCGCCAATACACGAATGCCTCAGTGTATGATTAGCAATAACAAAACCCAGCCACAACATGGACAACCGCCAAAACCCACCCCTCCCTCCCCTTGATAAAACCTGTAATAATGCAACAAAAATCTTCACCTTACCGTGTCAAAAAACAGAGAACAACAAGTCTTGGCAAACAACTCCTGAAGACCAACCACGCATAAATCTAAAACGAATACCCTCCCCTGGTAATGACACCACCCCCCAACAAACCACTACCCTAATGGATTATATATAATAATCTTGACTATCAATAACGAACTTTACTAAACACTATTGTTCTGTTGTATGACCATCTTAAACAAGTCACCTGTCTATAGGTCATGGAGGACAGGAGACGAGGCTGAAGAAGACCCGCAGAGCCCTGCAGAAAAATCATCCATCTCCACTACAGAAATAGACTGATGGAAAGGATGAAAATAAAAAAACTCTTCACTAACATTCTGCACCAACACAACCCACTAGCTGCTGAAAGGCTCCAAGACATAACTTTTGGGTGAACGTATGACAACCACCTGACCCAACAACTATACAAACCCAAACAACAGTATTTAAAAACTTCAACCTTGAACAATGGTATGATGAACAAGGACAACACTATTTTTGCCAGCACACGAGATACACAGATTTTATCCACGAATGCAGTGATAACTCTGTCCTACCCCATGTTGTGACCCTGAACCCCATGATAATAGGCAACACAAAATTAAGAACACAAATCGAAAAAGGCCTCAACCACATCCCGCTAAAGCCGTATAATACACACGAGATCCAAAAAGAATGTCAAACAGCACTAGACAAAACAATCGAAATTATAAACCAGGACGGTATGCTTATCACACCAGAACAGAAAACAACATCGCAACTCCAACTTAAACGCACAATCAAACAAAATTGCATGAACTTCCACCGACCTCTCACCTTTGACCTGTCACATCCCAACATCAGGAACGAACTTAACTTCATCACGAAGCACTTTTATATTGCTGGTGTTGACAAAGCACCCAATACACCCACTTTCACCTGCATCAACTTCATCAGATACCTGGCCCTGAAAAGACTCACTGGAAACGACTTCACCCCCTGTGAATGTACTACACCAGAACTTATTAGGATACTAAAATACCAAATAGAAACTCAATTCCCATTCATTCCCATAAAAAAATATAGAACTACCTTACCTCATAGCAACCTACAAAAAACATAAGAACTCCTTCAGATGGTTTACCAACGCGTCTGACGTTATCTTCTCACCACTTGCAGATGTATGTGCAACTATTCTCAGCAAGCTTGCACTAACAGTAAAAACACATTGTGGTGACCTTACACGACTCACTGAACAAGAATACGGTGTCAAGGTACCATTCTGGTGGATAGTTGACTCAATGTCTGACTATATCTACAATCTGACCCCACATATCTATAACCTCTACTCCGCTGACATCACCACATGCTACGAAACTATCCCAACTGATGAATCAGAAGATGGCCTACCAACAACCATCAACTACTTCATCGATCTCGCCTCCAAAGAGGCGAGAAAATTATATGGCAGAAATGTCGGCATAGCGTGCATCATAAAAGAAAAAGGCAAAGAACTCTACATTGACGCAACTTGGACATCGGGTAGACAGACCAACACCACAATACTCACTGCAACTGACATCCAAAGAATGAACAACTAGTTCATAAAAAATGCATATACAACACTCGGCGGTGCCACGTGGAAGCAAATTCTCGGCATACCAATGGGCCTAAGCTGCTCACCTATGTGGTGCAACATCTACTTCTTTCACTGTGAATACAAATTCATGAAGAAATTGCGACTAACCCCCAACCTCCACCTGCTCCCCCTATTCCAGCACACATTCAGATATTTTGACGACCTCAACTGCATCAACAATCTTAGAATAAAAGAATTTATCAACCCTGAAATCAAAAGCAAAAGAAGTAAATACTACCTATACCCCCTCAATTTTGTAACACTCAACGAACAGATACTAGAAACCACCTCGCCGAACAACCAACTGGCGGTAACCAAATGCAACTTCTTGAATACAACACTCACTATTACCAATCACACAACTGACACATTTGAGACAAGAAAGTATGACAAAAGGAAAGAATTCAACTTCTTTATCAATAGATTCCTCAAATTTGACTCAAGCAGACCCATCATGCAATCACTGAAAATACTCATCCCACAGACCATAACTATTATGACTGTCACATCACACCCCCTACATGCAGCAGAAGATTTAATCGATGTAATACGAACGATGACACAAAACGGATTTAATCCACACAAAAGCATCGGAATTATCGAAAGCGTCCTCAAGAACACCAATACCTACCAACCATTCACATGCGACCCCTAGACAACCCTGAAACACACCAGAGAACTATTCCGTGCGTCGTGTGTGTAGATTATTATTCAATAAAAAATAATAATCTGGTACGGATGGCGGCCCCCCGGAAGGGGCAGGGTCGTCATCCGTACACCTGCCCCCTCCGCCCCCCTATCACGTGGGAAAGAGGGAGGGACACACACACACACACACACACACACACACACACACACACACACACACATACACACACATACCTACTAGTTAACTAACCCCCTATCTATAAATTATATACATATATAGACATCCAACCCCCAACTCTCAAACGCTCTGATATACAACCTCAGCACACACACCCACATAGACATCTTGGACTAAAAACATAATATCCTGCACAAACAATAGACCTTCATCCTCTTGCAATCCACCCTTGCCGCCCCCCACAAACACCACCCCCCCCCCCCACCCGCAAAAAAGAAACAAAAGATCCCG